GATTCCTGACCCCCGTAGGGGGGATATAGGTACTGCGAGGCCGTGAGGCCGAGGTGGGGTGAGCGGTAGCGAGACACACATCCAGACCGACGACAGGATCAGTTAACCAGTCGGTCAAACGGTCGGTTAACCGGTTGGTCAGACCGGTCGGTCAAGTGGTCAGTCAGTCGGTCAAAGGTTCTTGACCGGTTATAACCGACCGATGACCGACCATGACCGACCGTTGCCATCCCTACTCATGATTGTACATGTAATACTGGGTATGATGAGACTAATTGAAGTTATATTGCAGTTTAGTTCAGTTTATTTAATAATATATAACTATATTACTAACATTATAATGGATATAAAATTCTTTAAATATTTTGCAAAGGGCATGCATAAATTTTATTGGAGGAAAATTTCACCAAATTGCTGACAAAAAAAAAATCAAGTGAATCATAATTTTTGACATATGACAATATACCATGATAAAATTCTATATTTCTTCCCTTTTAATTTTTACTTCAATATTTAACCTTTATATTGATCAGTACTGTAACTATGTCACTGGATCACTTCAAAAGTTGTCTCGCATGAGATGTGGCCTGCTTTGTTACACAGGATCTGAAGTTGTTTATAACTAGTTGAATATGTAATACATATTTGGTTATGTATTTGTTACTGCAGTATACCTGAAATAAAATAAATAAAAAAATATATGATTGTTATATAAAATTGAATTTCTATTATATTACTAATATATATTTGACATAAGGCTATATAAAGTTAATATTTTAATATTTTGAAATGATTTTATCATATCTCTGACTAGAGAATGGAATCGATTCTAGCAAAATCGAATTAATCAAAAATTGAATCTAAATCGATTAATTGAAAATCGAATTAAAAAATCGAATCTTTTATTGTGATACAGTAATTCGATTTTTTTTTAGCATTTATAATATTTTATTGAAATAGTTTTTAATTAATTAATTTATTTTTTATTATTTTATATAAATTAATTATTTTCATTTAATTATTGCACAGTAAATTACTTTAATTTATACGTAAAATAAATAAATAAATAGAGCATTGCTAAATCTCACTGCAGGTGTTTTTTACCACTTGATTTCAGCCAGAATTATAATTTGGCCGGAGTTAATCATGTAACATAATAAAAAAAGTTTGACTTTTAATTAATAGTTAAAAGTGGTCTAAATGACCCACTTTTGGGTCATTTAGACCACTTTTAACCATTACGAAATAAGTGATTTAATGATTTATGCAGTGAAGTTACACAAGAATATTTGCTTATAAATGGGACCCATTTGTGAAAAGTTTTTATTAGGTCACATGATTAACTCCGGCCAAATTATAATTCTGGCCAAAATTAAGCCAACAGCAATGCCCATATAAAATAAGCAAAATTACTGTAAAAAAAAAAATAGATTTTTCACCTATTAAAATTGTTGCGTCACAAATTTAATTACAAATGATGATCAATTTTTTTTTATGACGCATAGAATCGATTAGAATCGATTTAATCGAAATCGAAAATCGATTCTCATTTTGAGAATTGATTCCAATCCCTATCTCTGACACATATTTGACAAATACTCAAAATAATATTTTAAGCAGATCTCTGACACAGTTACTAGATTTCTACATTATATTTTGACATATTGTAAACATATAGTTATAACAGAGATAACATAAATATGAATATCAATATATCTTGTATATTTTAAAAATATTGATAATATATTTTTTATATCGATAGGGTTTCTGCAAAGAAATTGAAAGTAGTATATAAAAATTCAATATATGCTAAATTAAATATTTTAGATCTTATTATATATATGGTTAGTTGTTACTTCATTAGCAGATTTCCATAAAATACGACGAAAACCAATTACTAATATAACAAATCCCTTTAACTTATTAGGTTTAGATTTTGTTATTTTAACACGATCATCAAATACTCCTGAGCTAGAATAGTTTTTAGCTTTTCCTTTTGAAATTGTTTCCATGTATAAATTTAATTTATTCAATCCATTATTTAATGTTTCACCTATAGTTGTCATATTTGTTTTTTTTTCTTCCTTTGACCAATATGTATATGATCTTTTTAATACAGATTCTTCATTTTCCTTTTCAAGTATTTTATCTAGATTTTCAAGTTCATTTGCACCAAAATTATTTTTCTGATTACTATTAATAAGTCCAACTAATGATATATATTTCAATTCTAAAATAACATTATTATCTCCTTCACTATTTAAAATAAAAATATCTGAATAACCAAAATGACCTGAGCCTTTTGGCTTTTTACCATTAGTTACTAATGCAAGTTCTGGGATACAGTATTTTAATGGCAAAAGATTTTCTACAATTGCTTGAAGTACAGGTTCATTTGCTGATGATAAAGACATTCGTGATCTTGATAGCAAAGAAGTTTTTAGAATTTTAATAAAAGGTATGATATTATTTTCAATAAGACTCTCATATGCTGAAGCAACAAGAAGTGCATTGTCAATAACTTGGACATATGCTAAATTATTCTTATTTTGTTTTAAAATTTGACTTTGTTTCTTCCAGTGCTCTAATGATTAAACCATTAAACATAATTTAATAATAATATAATATATATATTATATAAATGTAAAAGAAATAGTATAAATATTATAACCTACCATTAGATAAACTTTCTGTATCAGTATTACTATCATCTCTTACTCTTTTTAGCTTTCCTTTTTGTTCAACATATTTTTTAGTTTCATTAGAATCTGGTTGAGAAATTTCAGATAATTTTATATCAGATGTTTTATTTAATGTCTTATTTAAGTGAGATGTAACAGCAGGGGCTAAATTTTCCTTTTTGTGTTCTTTAATAATTCTATCTGGTTGAGAAATTTCAGATGACTTTATATCAGATGTCTCATTAAAGTGAGATGTAATAGTAGGGACTAAATTTTCTTTTTTATATTCCTTAATAATTCTTTGCCAGAAATTTTGCAGATTTTTTATATAACGAGAGTGTTCTTCATTTACCTATTATAAGAAAGAAATTATTAGTAGTGCATCAAAATTTATTTAGTGATAAAAGAAGGTACATAGCCAATTCCTCCTCCAGAATTAGCAGACTTGTATCAACTACAAAATTAGGGTGCCCAAAATGAGTTCTTTGGATTGGTTACCAAAGATGTCAAGATCAGTAATTCTCCTAAGTCAAAACGCATCCAACTTAGAAGTTACCCTAAATTTGCAAAATAAAAAATAACACACCTTATTTTTTATTACAATATAAGTTTTCTGATTAAACAGAGATTTTGCCTCCCTTAGAAAGTGATAAAACCAAACAGTATCAAGATTATCACATGTGTCTGTTGGTGATATTGAAGCAGTGATAAAATCACTGTTAAAATTCAAAAATCCACAATATGTTGATTTACTACCTCGTTCTTTTAAATATTCAATTATAACTAAATAGAAGTTGGTTAATAACTAGTATCTTTGAAAATAAATATTACAAACTAAGTACTGTACTTTTTATTGGACTTACTATTTTGACCAGGATAGTTGCTCATATTGATTAGATTCAAAATTGTTGAGTAAATAATGAATGAAAGTAGTTAATAAAGAAGGAAAGAATAAATAGTTAAGAAGGAAAAGTAATATAAGTGAAATAAAGATAGGTATCTTAATTATATATATATTTATAGGCTGTAATGACGTATTGATGTTCTTGAATTACATTATCAATTTCATATAAATTATGTAGGCTGACACATTGATATGAATAAGAAGTACATTATTAGTCAAATTTAAATAATATAATTAAATAAAATATTAATGTATCAGTCAAAATCATTTAAAATGCATTACATATTTTTTATCAATGAGTCAATATTACCACACATTTGTCAGTAATTAATGAAGAACATGCAATATATTTCATTGTAAGCAACTATAAATACTTTTGATTCAGGATTATTCACATCAATGTGTCAGTCCAAGTCATACTAATAATAATAAATTATGATTTTTAATTCATATATTGTCAATTCTTTTTTTTGCTAAAAAAAATCCTACAAAAAATAATAAATATGACACATATTGATTTTATATGATCTTTTCTATATTTTTCATTATTACTCATAGTAGCTAGTTATACCAATATTTGATATTTTCATAGTTACAATAGTGTCACAATTAATATGAAAAAAGTACTATTACACATATTTCGGATAGTGAGTATGAGTATGCGCAATATTTTTGGGAAAAAGCCAGATGTAATACCATGAGGGATTACCACAATATTTATCTTAAAACTGATATCTTCCTACTCGCAGATATTTTCCAAAGTTTTCGGGAAACAGCACTAAGTAAATATGGTCTTGACCCTCTCTGGTATTACTCAACACCTGGTTTAGCATGGGATGCACTATTCCTCAAATATTACATTTCATTACATTATTTAATATATCCACTTTTACCAAACAGACAAAAAAAGAAAAGTGATGCAAAAACACTATATGCTACATGCCTATTCATCAATGATATAAATCCAGTTTTGTTAAATTCCAAAAACCAGCATTCCTACAATAGAAAAAAAAAAGCTTTATAAGAATATTTTTTATATAATAATTTATTAAAAAAGTACCTACTCAATATCTATAATAATCCATGTTGTAATATCAAGGTCCGAGTCTCATTTTACAAAAAGAATTTCTTAACTAATATGGACCTATTAGTTTAATTAGTTATTCACCCTAGAAACATTTGAGAATGATGATAACCCATCAGGTTGGTGTTGTAAAAATCAGTATAGCTTTGTTATTAGGAGTTTCTGTGCTGTTTTTTGTGTTTTAGGATAAGTGTTCTAAAGTAAGTGAAGCCGTAGCATTAATGTAAAAATGAGATTATACTTAATATGGTTTAAAATGTCGTATATGATCACTAAGTCTGAGTGTTGTGATAAGTTTGTCTTGAATAAGTAGATAGTAATGGTTCCAAATTGCTGGAATCACGTACTGCAATCCAATCCCGTGATATGTGTAATTTTATTAAAAAAATTACGAACATTATTAGATAATCATAAAGAAATAATCTATTTATAGTTAGTATATATGCGGCTTAAATTATTCACTATTGCTTAGGCTGTTAGCATTGTTAGCATATGAATTCAATTTTGATAGTGTCGTAAGTGATGGCCATTTAAAATTTATCTGTTCGTTCAATTTTATCAATTGATATTGATATATTGAAATTGAAATTGAAATTATGTATATTTGTTAAAAAACGATCCTTGATTTGCCACATGTTTTTAACCAAATTAGGGCCAACTTCCCTTCCTTTTTTAGCGTCTAAAGCATCTTACCCAGTATCACCGTCACTTTTCTGCCCCACGTGATCATAGTAATATTTGTCACACAGTATCACACCCTCTGCGCCAAAAAGTCACGTGGGGCAGAAAGTGACGGTGATACCTAGGGGATAGATAAATAGATTAATCCCCCGTCGCACTAAGTGTCACTCATGATCACCTTCATACTAATTTTTAAAAATTGCGAGTGATTAGCTGAGTTTATAAATGACCGGGAATCTTCATTTAGTTATTTCCCGGTCTCATATAGATAGCCGGGAAATTACTAATTTTAGTTTAAAATAGTTAAAATAGTTAATATTTAATGAGTGACACGCTCCAGGGGATTACCCATTTATTTCCAACTCCCCATGAAATAAATAATACAAATATACGGGGGCAAACTCAAGGTTACACAGGCTGATCAATTACCGACAGAGTTGGATTTGGACAATGTCCAATTTCTAGAATTGGACATTTGGACAATTTCCAAATGGACATATGTCCAGTTGTCCAATTGGTTAATTGGACATCGTTGGATTAAATGTGTCCAATTGGACATATGGACATATGTCCAAATCCAATTGGAGATCCAATTGGACATATCCAATTAATAAATTATAGTGTAACAATGATAATCTCGTTTTTTTTCTACTTCGACTTTGACTATTTTTTTCTCATTAGAAAACATGCCTCCTCCAAAACATTCCTATACTAAGTACATTACAGTTTTAAATGAAAAAGCAAATAAATTTAATTATTTTGCTTTGTGTTGCTATTGCAAAGCCAAAATTACAAACACAAAAAGGCTAGTAATTTCTCATTTAAAGTCTTGTAATAAATTTAAGGAACAGTATTCCGAAAATGAAAGAAATAGAATACTTTTTCCTGAGAGATATGAAGAGATTCAAGAAAAAGATCAAACTGAAGGAGAATCATCTTTTTCTCATGAACAAAATTTTTCTTTTCCCTCTTCCTCTCTATCACACCGTTCCTCTTTTTCGTCTTCCTCTTTATCACACCGTTCCTCTTTTTCCGCTTCCTCTTTATCACAACATTCACACGGTATATTTTTTAAAAAATCATTTATAATTTATTTGGTTAATTAATTTATACTAATCTAAATTTATATTTCAGAATTTGAAATTAGTACTGAAGAAGAATCTGCTAATAAAAAAAGAAAAACAAAAATTACGTACTATATGCCTTGGCCAACTCCTCTTTCTAAGCAAGAATATACTCAATGGGAAGATTTAGTATTGAATTCTACTATAGATAATGGGTGGTCATTTAGATGGGTCGAAAATCAATCAAGTCAAAAAATGATTAATTTTGCAAATCCAGGATTGAAATTACCTAGTCGAAAAGTACTAGCAGGTCGTATTCTGAATACAAATTCAGAACATATTAAAAAATCTTTAATTGATACTGCACAAAAAGATGAACTTGGAGTTACTGTATGTTTTGATGGATGGAAAAATGTCAAAAAGCAAAAAATTATGGGATCAGTTTTAATTACTTCTGATGGACAAGTTTTAGTATGGGGAGGAGAAGATATAAGCAGAAATCGTGTTCAATGGGAGGAAATTAAAGAATTTACATTAAATTTTTTAAGTGATTTAGATAAACAGAATATCAAATACAATGCTGTAATTACTGATTCTGCATCTTCAAATCAAGCTGCAAGGTATGTTAAATTGTTAATAGTAAATCTTAATGATTTAAATTAATAATCACAATTCGCAAAATATTAACTTTTTTTTTATAATTTACAGAAAACGATTGGCACCAGAGCGGCGAGACGTTTTTTTTGGCCCCTGTTTTGCCCATCAAGCTAACCTAATTGTTGGAGAAATCTTTAAAGAATCTCCTAATTTGATTAATGCATCTGAAAAGGCCATTCAAATTATTACATACCTTAACAGATCAGTTTACTTTATGGCTAGATTACGTGATGAGCAAAAAATCAAATATAATAAATATCTTGCTCTTCTTCTTCCATGTGCTACACGTTGGAATTCTCATTATCATTGCTATTTCAGTTTAATACGAACAAAGGCAGCTTTAAAGGTATGTAAAATTTAAAATACCTAATAAAATTAGCTTTTAATTTTATTTTTTTACACACATGCATATTTTTTTAGGTACTTATTTCAAAATATGCTCCTGAAGAATTTGATCAAGAAGATGAAGCAATTTACTATTCTGGTGAAGAAGATGAAACACGAAATAATAAAACTTTGCCGCTTGATATTTGCAAAACTATTGATAATGATATTTGGTGGAGAGAAATTAAGCAATTAGAAAAGCTTCTATATCCTTTTTGTGGAGTGTTAAACAAATTACAAGCAGAAAATGCTCGTCTCCATGATGTACTTCATGGATTTGCTTATTTTTACAAAATGTGGCAAGAATATTCCGATCAAGATTTAGGTAAAAAAATGGCTGCGCGTTTAGAAAAACGATGGGATATTTGGGAACAGCCCTTATTATTAATTTCTTTTCTTCTCCACCCTGAATATCGGAATAATCTTTTTATTCAAAGTAATCAATCAATTTCTTTTGCTCAATTGAGTGAATGGATGATTTACTATTTCTGTGCTTGGTTTAAACGATTACCTACCTCACTATTGGGAGAGTTGCAGAGTTATCGAAAACAAGATTTTCCATTTAATAATATGTCATTAAAACAATTTCGTAATGGTGTACTTGGGTTTTGGGATTTTACATCTGCTTATGCACCAGATTTAAGTGCATTTTCTACTAAAATATATGCTATTTGTATTAATACTGCCTCGGTTGAAAGACTTTTTTCTTCCATGGGCTTTTTTCATATGAATAAAAGAAACCGCTTGGGTGTATGAAATTTACCTTAAATTTTTATTTATTGACGTTTTTTTAGCATATTTAATCATTTGGCTTTCTTAACTGTTATAACTTATAATGTTATTACAGTCAGAAAAAGTTCTTGCTATGAGTCAAATAAAGGGAGAATTTCAACGGCAAAAACGACTGGAAAATATTATGAGTGCAAATAAAAAACTCAAAGATACAAACATTGCAATTCCAGTTGTTCAAGAACAGCAAAATGACGACCAATTTAATGTATCCGATAATGATGATGATTTTTTAAATCAATCTTCTGAAGATTCGGAACAAGATATTGAATCACCTCGTGAATGGAGAAATTTAATTAATGAATGGATTGAAATGGTAGAAGATGAGGAATCAGAAATTCTAAATCAGAAGGATAAAGAAAATGGTGAGATAGCACCACTTATTGGTCGCACTATGGATTTAGACGAGATTTTACAAAAGAAACATCCACTTATCAGTAAAAGAGCCAAGTGGAAGTTAGATGATATTTTTGATTTTGAAAAAATTCAGCCTCCTACATATTTGACATTATTACGTAATTTTTTTTTCAATTTTTAATTTTTTTTTTAATTTAATTATTTAATTATTTAATTAATTTGTAGATGAAACGGAATAAAATCAATAAATTGATTACAATTGGTCAGGAAAATATCCAATGAAATAATTTGTATTTACTGTAAATAGGCAGATTTAATGTTGATCAACTGCGTACTAGTAATATTTTTTTAAATAAAATTGCGAATTATTTGTAAAGAATTAATAAAATTTACTTTTTAAATCATTAAATTTAAATAAAATTAAATAAAAATCAATTGGACATTTTCTTATATGTCCAAAAAAATTATTGGACATTGTGGACATATATCCAATTGGATATTCAATTGGATATCCAAATGCTCAATTGGACAAATGGTCCAACACTGATTACCGATTGAACTGAAGCCTCCATAAATTGGTTACACAAACGAAATTTCATATTAGAATTTCGTTTTTTTTTATTTTTTTCGACACACACATATAGGAAAGTAGCTGATCCCAAAAGTTAAGTTTGTTCGTATTAGCTCTATATAGGCGAAGTTTTTTTATCAAAATTGAGCCACTGATTAATTTCTTTCTTATTTTATATGTTTTTATTACTTGACGATAGAAAGTTAGAAATTACAGACTTTTGAGATCTCAGTAAAAAGTTATAAATTTTTTTTGCTTAAAAACATTTAAAAATAGCGTTTCTTACTTTGTTGTGCATTATTTTCAAGTATTTAATAAACTTTTATAATTTTGAGGTATTCCAAATAGCTGATCCTATTTTTTGAAAGATATGAACGCAAAACTTCAACAAAAATTATAGATTTGTATAGTTTCGGATTTTGTTGTTTTCGGGGGATAATTTTTTTTAGAATCATATTGATTATCGGCCCATCTCTCACTTTAAACATGGGGTATTTTTATAGTTACTTATAAAATTACTATAGGCTTCGTGTGTGTAACCTTGAGTTGGCCCCCGTATATTTATCTATCCCCTAGGTGATACTGGGTAAATTGTCTAAAGCGGTAGCGTCACGTGATTTTAGTAAACCGCATCACCTTCATTTTTTTTATGAGGACAGAATTTTTTTCGGTTAGTAAAAACCGTAATTTCTTAATGCCGTAATTCCGGCCAAATATGCTCCGCTTTAGACACCCTAGAATATAACGTAATATCATAACAGCCAATCACAAAATGTAAATGATTGACGTTAATACTGTGCAATCAAACCCGACCCCCATTTTTATTACAAAAATTTTTACATGTTAATATTTAGTAGTAAGGAGGTTGTAGTCTATGCAAGAGGGAATTCATTAACGAGAAATAATTTTTACATAGTATTTGTTATTGGTAAAATATGAGAAATAAATTTATTAATAATACATTGATTGAATGATAAAAAATTAATTGTACAAGCAATAAATAATAAATAATAAGAAACCAACAGTTGTTATTTTTTTATACATAATTATTATTTCCATTAGCATTTCTGATTCTATTACGACGTTTAAACCAAGCATAAATTGAACTTATTGCTATTAAAATTAGTAATACTATTGTTACTAAAACGAGTGTATTAGAATTTTTAGAACTTTTTGGTTTTTCAGTTTCATTATTTCCTTCATAAGATTTGTCATTTTTTAAATCAATTTCATTAACATTATTAACTTTTCCCAAATCATTATCAGCAACACTATTTTTAGGTGGTTTCCCTATAACTTTATGCTCAGGTTTTCCATGTCCAGGTCTTTTATGAATATTTTCCCCAGCCTCACTAAGAACCTTTCCTGGAAATTTGCCTCTTCCAAATACGAATAAATCATCATTAATAAGAGCAATCAATAAAAATGATATTAATAAATATTTAACAAAATTATTTCGCAAATTATTAGATAAAATCGTCATTAAATTCATATTTTCTGTTTATATCAGATAAAGCGGTGGTTCGTAATTTAATAGTGTATGTCAAATATTTTAATTTAAACGTTAATTAGGTACGTTAATTTTGACGTGATATTTAATTCTTGAACAGAATTTTAATATAAGTTAAATGTTCATTTAATTTCTTTTCTTTTTTTTTTTTTTAAAAAAAAAAAAAAAAAAAAATTNGAAAATAATGTTTCATTAAACTTAAAAAAAGTTGTTCCACATTTACTAAATTTAAATTTTTTTGAAAAAATGATTATATCATATTTATGTGTCAAATCGGAACATAAACTCCTTTTACTATAAATTTGTATATGATTATCATTTTTTGTTACTGTGTTACTATATTCTTTCTCCTTATTCTCCAAAAATTGAAATCTAATAAAAAATAAAAATGAAATCTAATAAAAAATGAAATCTAAAAAATGAAATCTAATAAAATTCCTGATAAGTATTTAATGAATTTAATGTAAAAAAAGAAAAAAAAAATAATTCATTAATGATTTAATTAAAAATATGTTTATAAATAAAATGGAAAATACAGACAACTTACGATAAATACTTTTCCCAACGAACTTTTACGTCATTAAAGTTTCCTTGGAATTTCCATGTTTCTATTTTTAGACGCGTATTGTTACAAAGCATGTAGATCTTTCCTTAATGAATTGTAACAATAATAATTACAATTTCGTAAATATTGTTTGGAATTTTCTGTTAATAAAATTAATAAACCCGATTTTGGATATTCATAATAGTGTACCAATAGAATTACATCATCATAAAATATTACTAACATTTACCGATTAACATAAGAATTTGAGTTCGATAATTCTTTAATTCTGACTCCGGAAAGTGATCGTCCGCAGAAATAATCCTCGATCATAATGCAATTTAAGTTTTGTCCAAATTTAGTATATGTAGTGAAAATTCAACTAGACGAACAATTTACTTTGTACAGTATATTAATCAAGATAATCATAAATAATCTGAGCGTACATTTGACATACGTAATTTTCCAATTTTTTTTTGTTTTTAATTCATTCTGACTATTATTAAATATTCCAATATCCTTGATGGATGTCACTATCGTTCTACTTTACAATATATGTTTAAAACTAACAGAGAAATAATTCACAACTAATCCGCAGCACGGCAGCAGTATATCGATATCGGTATTATAAATTTACGAACATACTTGAGCTGAATTATTATTGTCCGTAGTTTCTTATGAATTTCTTTCCTATTTGATTTTTCTTTGTTATATACAAATGAAAAAATAAGATTTAGGGTACATATGATAAATTAGTCGGTTTATTTACATTCGATATTTCCGTGAATTATTTCTATGAAGAAAAGATTCTGGGCGTTAAATAAGAACACTTTCAAATGGTGAATGAACTTTAGACCATTATGGGAATCCAAAATTTTTAATTCGATACCAAAAAAATCCAAACAATACAATTTGTACGATGAATGTATTATTTCTCTTTATTGATAGGTTCTTGGCCGAATTATGCACTATCCAAAATTGAAATTTTGTGATCGTCAGCTGATTTACCCGAAAATTCGGTATTCAAAATCAACCTAAATAACCTACACGTTTTCATATATCATGTGATATATTAATCGGTTCAGTAATTAAAACCGAAACTTCTGTTTCAAATTTTAAATTTTTTGAAAGAGATAAGCAAATTTCTAGTTACACTGATCTAAAAAGAATATAATCAACGAAATACAGTATGTTATTTAATCTTACCAATTTCCAAAAAAATAAAAATATTCTCCCTTCTTTTTTTTCCTTTTTTTTTAAAAAAAAAGAATATTAATTTTTACTATTATTTTCTTATTTAATCAATACAATAATTAACGAATTACACGCTACTCCATATATAAATATGTCTGAAAATATCAAAAACGAATGGATTGACTGGATAGAAGAAGCTATAACCAAAGAATATTTTAAATATTACGATTATTCACAATTTAGTGATGTTAGTGTAATCGGGACTGGAGGATTTGGGAAAGTTTATCGTGCAAATTGGAAAAATTCAAAATATTTAGCGTTAAAATCTTTTTCGAATTTTAACAATGCTACTGCCAAAGAAGTTGTTCATGAGGTAATTTAATATATATATATATACTGTATATACTCGATTATCGTAACATATTTAATTTATATTTATTTCTCGAATTTAGTTAAAATTACAACGTGACGTTGATTTTCATAATAATATAATCAGCTTTTACGGAATAACAGGTAAAGTAATCTTTTTAATTTTAATGCATTTTCATTATTCCGGAAAATGATTTGGTAATAATAATAAATTTCTTCCATTTTTTTTTTTACGATAAATTTATTCATTAGCGGATGAGAACAAAAAATATTTATTTGTTTTAGAATATGCTGACGGAGGTACGCTTAAACAATATTTGAAAAAATATCTTAATAACCTCACCTGGGATAATAAATTTAACTTGGCATATCAACTTGCGAGTGCTGTTTCATGTTTGCATAATGAAGGAATTGTGCACCGTGATTTGGTAAATATATGTTTACTTTTTATAGGTTCAAATTATAAAATCTCATACACGATTTATATTTCAATTAGCACTCCGGTAATGTGTTGGTTCATCAAAATAACATCAAGTTGGCAGATTTTGGTTTATCAAAAAGATTAGGTGATGCAACAACACAATCAACATTCTTTGGCGTAATACCGTATATTGATCCCACAAGGTTTAGTAAAAGAAAAAATAGTACCGACCCAATAATAGTATATACGTTAAATAAAATGAGCGATGTTTATAGCGTTGGCGTATTATTATGGGAGATATCTAGTTATAGACCTCCTTTTTATACTGAAGGTGAAAGTTATGACGTTAGTTTGGTCGTTGAAATCTCACAAGGTCATAGAGAAACGGTTGTTCCTAATACTCCCGAAGAATATTCAAAACTTTATATTGGTAATTATAATTATATTATATAATTGTAAATTTTTTTAATACAGTAGGTATAAATTTATTAATTATTTCTTTTTTTTTTTTTTTTTCTTTTTATTTAGAATGTTGGGACGGTGAACCGTGTAATCGTCCAACGATAAACCAAGTGGTCGAAAGGTTAAAAACGATTCTTATGAAATCAATTATATTAAAAACAAACTCGATAGCTGGGAATTGTTTTTCACTACCAGAGTTTGAAATGAATTTTCTTATAGAAGACAATTCAAGTATTGATAATATTAGTCATAATTCTTTAAATTCATTACACGGTCAAATCTCACAAATAATTAATAATTTTGATGCAATGAATACTCAAGAAATAATTGATACTTTGGCAACAGATTTAGAATTAGTCGCTAATAAATTAGAATCATTTATATTTAAAATAACAAATGAGGGGAAAAATACCTTAGGTTTGAGGAAGCAATATATTTTTGATTATCTTAGTAAGAATGAATTAAGTAAAGGCGCCGTACCGGTCACGATCGCTCCTGAGGAATTGTTTAAATGGTTATTATGCCATCAAAATAAACCAACCTATATTTTTTTACTTGGATATTTTTATTATTTAGGAATTGAAACTAATATTAATCATAAGAAATCATTTGATTTATTCTTCGATGCATCGGAAAGTATGCATGTTTTATCACAATATTTCGTTGGAGAATGTTACCAACTTGGAAATGGAGTCGAAAAAAAAGAAAAGATCGCTTTCGAACATTTTAAAAGAGTAGCAAAGAAAGGTCATGCGATGGGACAATTAAAGTTGGGTACCATTTATGATAAGGGAATACCAGGTATTAGAAAAAATTCAAGGAAGGCCGCTAATTGGTATGAAAAAGCTGCGGATAATGGAAATAATTTGGCTAAATATAATTTGGCTTTTATGTACAAAGATGGAACAGGTGTTTGTAAAAATTATAAAAAAGCTTTTAGCTTATTTAAACAATCAGCCGAAAATGGAGATCCTGATGGTATGTCAATGTTAGGATATTGTTATAATAATGGAGTTGGAACGCCTATTGATAAAATGAAAGCATTTGAATCATATCAAAAAGCCGTAAAATTAGGAAATATATCAGCTCAATATAATCTTGCTTTAATGTATGAAGCGGGTGAAGGGATTGAAAAGGATATTGATGAAGCAATTTATTGGTATAAGAAGGCTTCTGAACAAGGTGATAGGGATGCTGAAAATAGATTGAAATTGCTTGAAGAAATTAAGAAGGAAGATGAGATGATACTGTTTAAAGGGAATTTTCATAATTCAAAATTATTTGTGTAATATTATTTTTTTTTTTATTTTGTAAAAAATATTATATATATAAATAAAAATTGTATATCATTTAATATGTAAAATTGAAGCCGTTCACGTAATTAAAATCACATGATATTTTTTGTGTTTCTTAGATTATCGACCTGCATGCCCTGCACTGTGTTTGTGTAATGTAACGTGTTATGTAGGTTGCTGATCTAATTATTTTAAATGAAATTCGTATTTATTAGAAATGACAGTTTTATATTTTCGCTTTTTCTTTTTTCCTTTTTGTTTCGTACTCATAACGTTTCCACAGCAATATTATAAATATATAGAAGATGTCTGAAACAAATGAATGGTCTAAATGAATTGAAGCCATTTCTAAAAAGCATATTAAGCATTACGAATATAACCATTTTAAAAATATTCAAGAAATTGGTATCGGCGGTTTTGGAAAAGTTTATCGTGCGAAATGGAAAAAATCACCTAAATATTTTGCATTAAAATCTCTTCTTAATATTGATGAAGATGCCATTAAAGAACTTGTTAATGAGGTGATTATATAATACTTATTATAAACCAATTTTTATTTTATTTCCGATTAAAATTTTTTATTTTTTAATATTTAGATTGAACTTCAACGTGAAGTTATTTTTCATGATAATATTATTAATTTTTATGGAATTACTATTTCAGATCAAGGTATTAAATACTGTAAATAAAATAATACGTTTATATTATTAATATAATTCAAATTGAAAGTAATAAATTCTTTTATTTTATTTAGAGAATCAAAGTAACGACATTAAGAAATATCTTTTAGTGATGGAGTACGCTGATGGTGGTTCTCTTAGTCATTATTTGAAAGAAAATTTTAAGAACCTTACTTGGAAAGATAAATTTAATCTTGCGAATCAATTGGCTAGTGCCGTATCATGCTTACATGATGAAGATATAATACATCGTGATTTGGTAATTTACCAATTTATTATTTTTATAATTTATATTATATTGTTCAATTAATTTATATTTCATTAATTTATTTTTTTTTAAAATTCTAGCACTCTAATAATGTATTAATAAGTAAAAATATTATCAAATTAGCCGATTTTGGACTATCAAAAAGAATTGAGGAAACTACTCAAAAGAAGAAAGATATATTTGGTGTAGTTCCTTATATTGACCCAAAAAAATTTAGTAACAGATCATATTCTTTAAATAAGAAGAGTGATGTATACAGTATAGCGTAGGTGTGCTTTTATGGGAAATATCAAGTGGCGAACCACCTTTTTATGTAGAGGGAGAATCATATGATGGTAGTTTAGCCATTCAGATCATACAAGGTCTTAGAGAAACTGCTGTTCCTGATACTCCCGTTGAATATGTTAAGCTTTATACCGGTAGGTATAACGCTTTTTTTATTTATTTATTATTAATATAGTATTATACGATTGAAAAAATGTATTTTTTTTTAGAGTGTTGGAATGATAACCCAGATAACCGGCCATCTACTCATGATGTCGTTGAAAGATTAAATTTTATAATTAATCAAAAACAAGATGAAAATCTTGATGAAAAACTTGGCGAGATAACTAATCAAACAGAAAATAAAGATACTATTTTAAATAGTAATAACTTTGAAGTATCATCACATGGAGAATTATCTAAAATGATCCAAGATTTTGATAAAATGGACGTCAATCAAATATTAAATGAAAATATTACATTGAATAATGTTGAAGAATCTTCACGCGGAGAATTATCTCGAATAGTTCAAGATTTTGATAAGATGGATACAAAAGAAATAATGGAATCCATGACATCAACAAGTGAAGAAATTATTAATAATAAGAATATTTCATCTGAAAATGATTTAATCATAAAAGTTAATAAAATTACAGAATTTATATTTGAAGTATTAAATAAGAGAAATTCATCTAATTTAAAACAAAAAATTCTTGATTATATTAATAATCAAAAGATGAATTCAAAAGAAATTTGTAATTGGTTATGTGATAATCAAAATTATAATTCAAATTCAATTTTTTTATTTGGATTCTGGAATTACGTATCCTAAATGTTAATGTATTAATTTGTGAACAATTTTTTACGGAAAGTAAAATTTTAGACAAGGATAAATTTGCAATTATTTTTGAGAAAAATATTTATTAATATTTCTTATATTATTTTATCAATATGGATATACCAAAGTAAATATCTTTATAATGTTATTGTACGGGCATGCTCCATAATGGTATCGTGCTACATCAGATCATTATTAGGTATAACGCTCGTACAATAACAATATTATTATACGGATCAGAATGACCATCAATGACTATTAATTAAACTATTCTATACTTTCATAAGCTTTATCTAATATTATATTCTATTATATTCAAGTTTTAATACTATTGTTATAATTTTAAACTATTCTTATTATGAAATCTTATGAAATCGTAACAAATATTATGACTGATAATTTTATATATTATTTCTCAATGTGATAATGTGTTGGATAATGATTTATAATTTTGTATTCACAGTTTTCAAGGTTTTAATTCAATTTACTATTATACTAAAAATTGAAAAAAAACATTGTAGAAATATGACCTAAAAAATTTATTTTATTTTTATTTTATTTTGTTTATTTGAAATTTATTCCAATTAATATTATTCAAATTTATGTTTATTAATGTCTGCTCTAGTGATTATAGATTTTTATCTTAATATTATTTTATAATATTTTGTAATATGAAATTAATATTATTTACGATTATACTATACTATTTTATTATTAAACCCTTATTAATCTCATTATTCTCATAGTTCATATTCTCATCTTGATTAATTTTACTGTATAAAAATTTAATAAATTGGAATTTGATATAGTAGGATAGAATTTTAGAATTGGGATGGTATAATAATTAAGGATAATATTTAATAGCTACTCGGCACGAAGTGCCGAGTAACTGTTTTATCAGGATTACGTAATAGGTATTTTTTATGAATGCATTATTTTAATATATATTAAGTCTATTGTAGTATTTATCATTCATATTGTTATAATTTTAATTCCTATTATGAAGTCGGCAACAAATAACAAATATGAAAATAAGCACTATTGTGAGAATAAAACCATTAATGATTAATAATTTTATAGCAATTATTTCTCAATATGATATGTTAATTTAATTTATTATGGTGAATAAATTGATTGCACACCTTTTCATTCTTTTTTTTAAAAAAAATTTATTCCCTTAATTTCCTAAAAAAAAAAGAAAAATGACAGAATTAAATGATGATGTTCTATTATATATTTTTCAAGTTTTATATTACTTAATTACAAATAATGAAATAAAATATAAAAAATCTCTACATTCTTGTTTGTTTGTTAACAAACACTGGTATGCAATCATGATCCCAATTTTATGGAGATATCCTAGTAAATTTGTTTATAAAAATGAATCATTATTCAATATCATCATTTCTCATTTATCAGATAATTTGATTAAATTCTTAAAAGATAAAAATATTATTGAAGCAAATTTCCAAAAGCAAAAACTTCTATTTAACTATGTTAAATTTTGTCAATATCTTAATGATATTTATAAATGTTTTCCAAAAAGATCATCAAGTTTATTGGATGAAGAAATTTATAAGCTTTTTATTAGTGAATGCTCATCTATAAAACGTTTGTGTTCAGAGATGTTAAGTTACCCAATATATAAATATCCAGGATCAAATATTTCTCTTTCAAATCTATCTGAGTTACGTTTAGTTTCAAGTTCAAGTTATAATGACTTTTATCATGAATTGGCACAAATATGCAGATCAATAGAAAAAATTTATATAAAACTTTGCGATGATCTTTCTGGAGCTGCTGAATTAATTGAAATGCAAAAACAGATTAAATACATATATGTTGAGGAATCTTATATGAATTGCGAGAAGATAGAACAAGCTTTAGAAAAACATGCAAATTCAATTGTTAGTTTCAATATAAAAACACATAAACACTTTTTAAATGATACTCTCCTTCCAAAATTAATTAATTTACAACAATTGGGGATAGTAGATAATTTCTATGAACTAAAGCATGGAATATCATATTTAAATTATTACGAACTTCAAATACTTGAATTAGTAAATGTTTTACTTGATATAGCAATAGATATTATTCAAAATACCAATGGAAATCTATGGAAAATTAAAATCAGACCTAAAGATTTCAATCAAGTAAAAGAATATAATCAGACAATCCATAAACATTGCCCAAATATAAAATATGTTTCATTATTTTTAAAAGATGATGAAACCCTGAAAGAATTAGAGAAAATTTTCATCAAATGCCAACACTTGGTAGCCATAGATATAAGTAATATTCCAGTTGAACTTCATGATAAATTTCTAGATTTATTGGTTAAATTAGCTCCACACACTTTATACAAATTTCACATAGGTAATATTGATTCATTTAATATAAAATCATTAAAATTATTTTTTAATGATTGGAGTTATAGAGGTAGAAAACCTTTATATTTATATCATCGTGAAAGATTTATTGGTGTGAAAGAAATTATTAGACTTAATTATTATAGTGATGATTTTTGGTTGTATGGAAATACATGGACTGATATATAAAAGTGGTTAAATATAATTATTAATATAAATTGTTGGAATATAATTAATATAATTCATATTTAGGAGTAATAATGTATTTGTGTGCATAAGATAAATAAAGAGTTATTAAATCCTTTTGATGCTTTTATACTTTTAAGAATCAGTTACTATTCTATGATTAAATCTTCTTGATGCTTTTCAAACTTTTAAGATTCAGTTACTATTCTATGATTAAATCTTTTTGATGCTTTTATACTTTTAAGGAGAAATGAGTTTAGAAAAAAATAAATTTAAGAATAAATAAAATCATAATTTACAAAAACTTTTTGAAAAATAATTTACCAAATTCAATTGTTTGTTTCATTCTAATTATAAAAACATATAAGCCCTTTCTACATGATTCTCTCCTTCCAAATTTACAACAAATTAGGATAAGTGATCAGTTCTATAATTTAAACATGAGATATATTTAAATTATTACGAACTTCAAACACTTGAATTAGTAATGTTTTACTTGATATAGCAATAAATATTATTCAAAATACTAATGAAATCTATGGAAAATTAAAACCAGACCTAAAAATTTCAATCAAGTAAAAGAATATAATCAGACAATCCATATATATATATATTGCCCAAATATAAAATATGTTACAGTATTTATAAGAGATGATGAAACCCTGAAAGAACTAGAGAACATTTTCATCAAATGCAAGCATTTGGTAGCAATAGATGTAATTGATATTCCAGTCGAATTTCATGATAAATTTCTGGATTTATTGGTTGAATTAGCTCCACTTTATACAAAATTCACATAAATAATTTAAATTTATTTAATAAAGAATCTTTAACATTATTTGCTGATAATTGGAGTTATAAAGGTAGAAAAACTTTACATTTATATCATAATTGTTATAGTAGAAGTTTTAATAGAGTGAAAGAAATTATTGAACTTAATTATTTCCCTATGAAAAAAGTCTGTGTGATTTTTGTTGAAAAAGCATTCAATTAAATTCACTACAATTTCTGTATATTTGACCATACAATAATTGTGCTAAAAATTGCAATAAATCACACAATTATTGCATGGTAATTTATTCAATAATTATCCTATTTTTGACATAAATTTATACAATTATTGTGTGATTTTTGAGCCAAATTTTAGGCCATATTTTAGGAATTATAGGTTAAATTTTACAGTAATAACAGGCAATTTATAAAGTGAAATTATGAATTTTTTTTATTGACTTAAAATATAAAAAATATACACAATATTTCATAAATAAAATACTAAATTTGATATAATCATAAATATAAAAATTTGTAAGAAAATAAAATAAAATAAAGTATGTTAATAACATGAAAGTAAATTAGTAGTATCAAAGAAGAAAGTAAATTATTAGTGTAAGTAAATTATTAGTATTAAATAAAAAAGTATGAAGTTAGTGAAGAAAGCAAATTAGTAGTGTTAAAAAGTAAATTATTAGTGTTAGTAATAAAAAAGTATGAAGTTAGTGAAGAAAGCAAATTAGTAGTGTTAAAAAGTAAATTATTAGTGTTAGTAATAAAAAAAAAGTATGAAGTTAGTGAAGAAAGCAAGTTAGTAACATTAAAATGTAAAAAGTTAGGAAAATAAAAAGAAGAAGAACACAAGTTTTTCTTACCTGATATTTTAAAAGAAAGTTGAAGAAAAGTTAAAAGGTTAAAAAAACATAAAAACATTTCGCGTCATCATATTTATTTTGACGATCAGATCACGTGACCAACATATATAATTTTAAGAGTTGATTTTTACCGCATAATTCTGGCCAAATTATAATTCCGGTCAGAACTAATTGTGTAACCTAATAAAAAGTTTTTGACTTTTTTTTAGTTACAAGATGATACAAAAATTTCACCAATGGGTCCAGAAGATGCCCGTTTATAAGCAAATATGCGGTTGAATTTTGTGTAACCTTACTGCATAAATCACATTACTTAGGAAAATCTATTTGTAATGGTTAAAAGTGGTCTATTTGACCCTAAAAGTTGTCAAATGTAACCATACAGGTAAGATGGAAAGTAGTATAATAGGATTACCCAAAAATTGTTTTCTGTATCCTAAATTTAAGTCTATTTTCAAGTTGTACAATAATCACAATTTTTATTGTACAAAAATTGAATGTTTTCTGTATCCTAAATTTAAGTTGTATAAAAATCACACAAAAATTGAACATTTTCTATATCCTAAATTTAAGTTGTACAAAAATTGCATACTTTTAATATGCTTTGAAAAACTTCATAACTATTTTTATCCAAAAATCTGCAATAATTGTACAATTACCACACGGACTTGAACAAATATTGCACAAAAATTTTTTTTCATAGGGTTTGTATGATTTTGGGAACATAAATTGCTGGATTACAATTAATATAATTCATATTTAGGAGTAATGATGTATTTGTTTGTAAAGGTAAATAAACGTTATTAAAACTTTTAGAATAATAAAAAAGAAAATTAAAATTACACTTTTTGATGTTTTCATAATGCATTTAAATAATAGTTATTGCGTCAGTTACGCAAGATCATGCTATTATTTTGTAATATTTAATAAACTGTAAATTTATAAAAGGATTAATTTGTAGTCATATTTAACCGATAAAAAAAAAAATATCAATTTACAAAAAATATCAGTCCGTCATGATCCTAATAGACTGACCAATCAGATTTGGTTATTATTCTATGATATGAGAAATGAGTTTAGAACAAAAGTTTTAGAATGAATAATTAATTAATTTCACGAACAATTTTTTGAAAAATAATTTACTTTTTTTGTGATGAAAACATATGTCAGAACTTATAAACAAAAAAAAAGTAATGAAAGTAATACAAATTATTTCTTAATCCATTTATTAATAGATCATGAAAAACACTCCAAGAATTTTTCAAAAAAGGAGAGATTCCGAGAGATCAGATGATATGACAACATTATTTTTTTATTTTTATTTTTATTTTTCACATAAAGACGAGAACTGAGGCAATTACATAAAGGCAAACTACCAAATAAAAAAAAATAATACAAATGCTAAACTTGCGTAAATTAACCCAACCCAAATACCAGTACATGACAAATACCAGGAATCGTCCTGCCAAAGAGAAATAGGCTTGGCCAGTCTCTTGTACTAACTACAAAAAACTCTAAACATACTCTCAAAAAAAAAACAACAAAAGAAAAACCGTGGTTAGTACAACGTTTCCTTTCTGGACAACCTATCCTATTGCCTAAGCTCACTGCTTCAGGTCAACAGAAGCAGCCTAGAGAAATCTCTTACTTAAGTACAGCAATCAGTTCTATAGCCATAGCCTTCTGTCTGTTCTCAGGAGTGCAGGTGAGTGGTCTTCTTAGGTTCTGAGAGATCATCCTATTTCTGTTAGAGGGTTGTTGTCTTGGGTTCAGCTTCTTATCATTAACGCTTCTTGAAAACCGTTCTAAGGGAGTCTTTTCAGACTTCTTCTTTTGGTAAGTCGGAGATACGTGGCGAGTCCACTTAAATGAAGTACCAGCCCAATTTGTGTTGTATCTATGACACTAGCAGCGTCAGCCCATTTTTCAAAGTACGCCACAAGTTTGCATTTCTTCTTCGTCGTTTGAACAATTCTATTATTTTTTTTATTTACTTTGTAAATAGAGTGTTCTGATAATCTGATTCATCCTAACGACTCTAGAATCACCATGTAAAAAATGGTAACCGCCAGGTTACACATGATCTGTGCACATGATTCGGATGATTATTTTTGGTAATTATATTTTGATCGCGAAATAATATGAATGATGAATGTATTTTTTCATTGACAAAATAAATGGTAAAGAAATTTATTTTATACATTTGTTATTTGTTATAATAAACTATTAAGGTATTATACTTTACTTTCTTTTGCTAATAGATTGTTAATATTATAATTGTTGACTTTCTTAAAGTAGTTTTGTTTTGATACTTTACAAATATGATATAATATTATTCCTAATACAACGCATTATGGTTCAATTTCTCCAAGTTTTTAGTGTAGTTTGACGATTTTTTAGTGCTTTAATATCATCATTCATCTTTTCCAATAATTTAAAACTTGGCCAAATATTTTTTTAACCAAAGATGACATTTAGCTTAAAAATGATATTAATTCAATGTTTATTGACCTATTTGACCTATTACAATGCCGGTATCATTTTAAATAATCAGGAGTATCTCTTTGTTTATCTAACAATGAATGTTTGTTGTTTGTTTTTCAAGAAGAAGAGAGCCCTTTTTTTCACTCCTAAAATGGAAACCCACATATAGCCATCACCTTCTGATATAAGAGATAATATATAATGCCCAATTTCAGAATTAATATTTTCAATATTTTCACTACCATTATTTTATAAAATCGCATTAACTAATGTTGATAACTCAATATCAAAACACATGCTTAATTCAGTATTTTCTCCCTCATAAAGCTTATTAATATTACTTAAAAAAGTTAAAGAATTATATATGGTTTCTCTTATATCTGTTTAATTAATCATTACATCAGATTTTTCTGTTGTTATCTTTTTTGAGCGTGATTCAAAATAGCTCGACATCCTTTACAACTCTTCTTTTGTTGTTGATATGATATGTTGACAATTTCTTTTAGCTAAAATTTCCAGGTGAGTTCTGATAAATTTCTTTACACGTGAGTGCACCACATGATATTTTTTGATATTCAAGATTATCGACCTGCACGATCTGCAATGCTTTTGTTGTAAAACGTGTCGTTATTTTCATACAGTAAAAAATTTATCTCATTTGGATTTGAAAAAGAAATGTCTGAAATATTGAATATTGACATATTGGATAATTTAATATATAATAGTTTATGAATGAATAATTAAAAATTTATAGTATATTTCTTTAATAATTATGTATTTTTTTTTTTTTGTACAAATCTTATGAATATTATTAAGAATTCAAAGGTTATTTCAAATACAATATAAATTAAATGAATTTGCCTTTTGTGATAAGACTTTCAATCATCTGAAATTTTATGTCTTGAAAATTTCAATTAATTAATACTGAATTATATTATGTTGATAATGTTATTATATTATTTTAATTTTTATCTAAAATCAAACGCTAATATTTTCATTTAGTCATAATGTGCTTTTAGATAAATTTATTCATCATATTACTAAATATGTAAAGGCAAAATTACCTTTTCCCAATTTAAAAAACTCCGAAATTAGTTATTTTTTTGCATAATATGTATTGTAAAGATATCGTAAACCTTTTTAAACTTTTTATTAAATAAGTTTATGGTATGCAGTAGAATTTTATTACTCAAAAGAATTTTATCTGACAATATTAATTAGTTAGAACTAGTTGTTAAAGTTATTACAATTAACTTTGTATTTGATAAGAACTAGAAGGTATAATTGAAAATTTTCTATTTTGAAAATATTTTAATTGTAATAGTCTCGAAATATCATAGGTTGTATATTGAGTATATAATTTTTTTTTTTTTTACGATATCTTTAATTCTTTAACAGCATTTCACAGTACACCGTATGATTTTGAAATCCCTGATAATAATAGTAAGTAATTATTAAATTTATAACAATAATATATTTAATATATTTTTTAAAATTAATTGGTTGATAATTTTTTTTTTTTTTAGTCGAAGATTTTAATAAATCAAGTAGTCGGAATTTTNTATTATAATTTTATTCGTAATACGTGAAAATTTTTTTTTTTTGTAGTTGAAATAGACAAACGAATAACAAATTTTTAATAATTTTAGGTAGCTCCAAATTATTTAATATTGAAAAGCTTCAAAACATGGTATGTATGATCGTTATTCATCAGTTACAAAAATTTTATTAATTATGAATAATTTTTTTTTCAGATGTCCAAATTAACGAAGAAATAATACTACAGGTGCAACAAAATATAAGAAGCGTCATTTTGTAAGTAAAATAATTATTTTACAAAACAAAAATTATTTTTTATTTACTTGTTGTAGATAATGACAAAATTTAAATTTTTATTCAAAAATTAGAAAGACGAATTTTATCGCTAAAAGTTTTTTTTTTTACATAATTATTTATTAGATACGAAAGAATTATAGATTAAAAATATCATTGCAACATAATTATTTAGATGCGAAAGAATTATAAATTCAAATCAACATTGCTTATAGTTTTATATAATTTTTTTCTTTATTCTTCACTATTTATATACATTATTTTATTATTTTTTACTATTTATATTACTTAAACACTAAAATTTTAGCTATTCTTACAATTTTCTTAATTTGTAATTTAAATTAAAATTGCTGATAAATAAAAGTCAATTTGCACGAGCCACGAGATGCTTCAGATTAGTCATTTACCAAAGAATTGACATTCATTAATATGATGTTATTTTTTTATTTTAACAATCATAACGTAGAACGTTACAGATCGATCAATGATATACTTAAATATCACTAGTAAGACTGCTCTCACTTACATATGATGTCACGCGCAATTTAACATGATTTCAATAACGAAGCAGTTTAAATGAGCCTTTTAATAGATAATCAAACCAAAATTCAATCAGGATCGGCAAAGTTGCATCATCAATAATTCTCTTTAGCACCTCCGTTCTGATGTGTTCCCATAGAAGCTGTTGTATTAATCTCTTCCAGTTCTATTAGCTTTTCCTTTACCTCTTTTAGACCTGATGCATCATCGGTCACTTTGTTTTGTATGTACATTTTTTTCCCATCCACGCGATACTTCTTTATGACTTCAACGGCTTCCTTTGGTGCAATGTTATTCATTTTAAAGGAATTTTGGTCATGATTTCTACTTTGTTGGCTTTGTCCTCTGAATCCAAAATACGTTTGATACTTATTGAAAATTTAAAAATTTATATTTTTACACTTCAAAAATTAACGCAACCAGAGAGAAAGCTTACAATTTTTTGACCCCATGTTTTTTGTTGCACCCATTAAACATTATTAAAATATCACGCACATCAATAGAAAACTGAAAAAAAGACTAATTAGTAAGAAAATCACCTCCAAGAATTGAACTTGGACACAAAAATTGTGGAACCAACGGTGATGGATAATGTTGAGTTAATAAGTTATTAAGGAAAGAACTCAACAAAGGAATGAAATAAAGGGTATCACATGTAAAGAATGAAATCACATGAGATAGATCAAATGATCAAGAAAGGTAAATTTTACAAGACAAAGGATCTCTCTGACACCAATTAGAATTGGGCGATGCAAACGATCCCCTTGTAAAATTTATCTATCTAAGAATGGTCAAATGATCAAAAAAGGGTAAATTTTTATAAGACAAAGGATCTCTCTGACACCAATCAGCGCTGTGCAATGCTTCATGGGCGATGCAAACGATCCCCTTATAAAAATTATCTATCTAAGAATGGCCAAGTATTCCCAAGTTGACCAAAGGGTAAAAGATTACGTCTCCATGCTATATTTGGTAAGCAATGGACCTAGCTACGTAATATAAGATTATTGAGAAAGAAAAAAAGAAAAGAAAAAGATAGTAACTAAGCTATTGGGAAATTA